TCCCATAGAACTAAACCACAACAGGGAAAGTGGCACCAAATTGCACTCGTTCTACAATGCAGATGCGCCCGTGTCCATAATAAACATAATAATAATAATGTGCAAAATGAAAACTCCCATAGAACTAAACCACAACAGGGAAAGTGGCACCAAATTGCACTCGTTCTACAATGCAGATGCGCCCGTGTCCATAATAAACATAATAATAATAATGTGCAAAATGAAAACTCCCATAGAACTAAACCACAACAGGGAAAGTGGCACCAAATTGCACTCGTTCTACAATGCAGATGCGCCCGTGTCCATAATAAACATAATAATAATAATGTGCAAAATGAAAACTCCCATAGAACTAAACCACAACAGGGAAAGTGGCACCAAATTGCACTCGTTCTACAATGCAGATGCGCCCGTGTCCATAATAAACATAATAATAATAATGTGCAAAATGAAAACTCCCATAGAACTAAACCACAACAGGGAAAGTGGCACCAAATTGCACTCGTTCTACAATGCAGATGCGCCCGTGTCCATAATAAACATAATAATAATAATGTGCAAAATGAAAACTCCCATAGAACTAAACCACAACAGGGAAAGTGGCACCAAATTGCACTCGTTCTACAATGCAGATGCGCCCGTGTCCATAATAAACATAATAATAATAATGTGCAAAATGAAAACTCCCATAGAACTAAACCACAACAGGGAAAGTGGCACCAAATTGCACTCGTTCTACAATGCAGATGCGCCCGTGTCCATAATAAACATAATAATAATAATGTGCAAAATGAAAACTCCCATAGAACTAAACCACAACAGGGAAAGTGGCACCAAATTGCACTCGTTCTACAATGCAGATGCGCCCGTGCCCATAATAAACATAATAATAATAATGTGCAAAATGAAAACTCCCATAGAACTAAACCACAACAGGGAAAGTGGCACCAAATTGCACTCGTTCTACAATGCAGATGCGCCCGTGTCCATAATAAACATAATAATAATAATGTGCAAAATGAAAACTCCCATAGAACTAAACCACAACAGGGAAAGTGGCACCAAATTGCACTCGTTCTACAATGCAGATGCGCCCGTGTCCATAATAAACATAATAATCACAATAATAATAATTAATAATAATTATAGACTGTGCAAAATGAAAACTCCCATGATCCCATAGAACTGAACCACAACAGGGAAAGTGGTGCCAAACTGTGCTCGTTCTACAGTGCAGATGCACCCGTCTCCATAATAAACACAACAATAACAATAATAATAATAGACCGTGCACAACCAAAACTCTCGTAATCCCATAGCACTGAACCAAGGCAGGAAAAGTGGTGCCAAACTGTGCTCGTTCTACAGTGCAGATGCACCCGTCTCCATAATAAACACAARAATAARAATAATAARAATAATAATAATAGACCGTGCACAACCAAAACTCTCGTAATCCCATAGCACTGAACCAAGGCAGGAAAAGTGGTGCCAAACTGCGCTCGTTCTACAGTGCAGATGCGCCSYCCAAGTCCAAACCTTGGGCYAGAGGAGGCCTTTCTGCATATCAAAGTCCTTGATCATGCACAACGCATGCTTTTTGCAATCCGGATGCCGTCGTCGGCCTACAACATTTCAGAAGCAGATAAAGTGGGCTTCTGCTGTGCATTCATGACACTGATTGCTGGGAAGCTGCACATCAGGAACTAGGCGTGCGTCTCCACTGTGGAAGGAATGCAGCTTGACGCCACCGGATTATCGGAGTCTACACCGCCATATAATCCAGTTCAAAGCAGATAATCTGGATTTTGAATGTCAATGTTGGCACCAGAACTCCCTGGAAAGAGAAGGCTTGCAAAGCGAAAACAACCAGGCTCCCATTGCAATGAAGAAGTGGTGTCAGATTGCATTCATCTCTCAGTGTAGACGCATCCGAAAGGGGAGAAGAGCTTCCTGGATCCCGGGAAATATGCCTTAATCAACTTCCTTAATCAACTTAATCACCTTCCAAGACAGATCTAATGAGAAGCTGCAAAAGTTTGCACTATTGCAACCAAGGGGTGTGGGTTCCTGCAATGTCTACATTGCTATTTTCAATCCAGATTATTATTATTATTATTATTATTATTATTATTATTATTGAAGAGAGGCAGGTAAGAAACAAAATTATTATTATTATTACTATTATTATTTCTTACCCACAGCTCCTTGTGGCTCGCCTGCTCTGAACTGGATTATATGGCAATGTAGACTCATATAATCCACTTCAAAGAAGATCATGTGGATGATCTGCTTTGATAATCCGGATTATGCAGCAGTGTAGAAAGGAGATGCAGCTTTCTCTTGGAAACCACCACAATCCATATTATCTGCTTTGATCTTGATTATCTGAGTCTACACTGCCATATAATCCAAATTATCAAAACAATTCCTATCTGCTTGGAACTGGATTATCTGACTCTACACTGCCATATAATCCAGATTAGCAAAACAATCCGTATTATCTGCTTTGAACTGGATTATCTGCGTCTACGCTGCCATATAATCCAGAGTAGTAAAACAATCTATATTATCTGCTTTGAACTGGATTATCTGAATCTACACAGCCATATCATCCAGATTAGCAGAACAATCCGTATTATCTGCTTTGAACTGGATTATCTGAATATACACTACCATATAATCTGGATTATCAAAACAATCCATATTATCTGATTTAAATTGGATTATCTGAGTCTACACTGCCATCTAATCCAGATTATCAAAAATCTGTATTATCTGCTTTGAACGGGATTATCTGAGTCTAAAAAGCCATCTAATCCAGAATAGCAGAACAACCTGTATTATCTGCTTTGAATTGGATAATCTAAGTCTACGCTGCCATTTAATCCAGATTATCAAAACAATCCGTATTATCTGCTTTGAACTGGATTATCCAAGTTTACACTGCCATATAATCCAGATTATCAAAACAATCCATATTATCTGCTTTGAAGTGGATTATCCAAGTCTACGCTGCCATATAATCCAGATTATCAAAACAATCCGTATTATCTGCTTTGAACTGGATTATCCAAGTCTACGCTGCCATATAATCCAGATTATCAACACATTCCATATTATCTGGTGTAAACTGCATTGGTTTAGTCTACATTGCCATATAATCCGGATTATCAAAATAATCCATATTATCATCAAAATAATATGGATTGTTTAGATAGTCTGGATTATATGGCAGTGTAATCCAGATTATCAAACTCTGAAATAGATTATCTTGTGTCTACACTGTCATACAATCTAATTCAAAGCAGATAATCTGGATTATCTATGACAGTGCAGAAGTGGCTTGAGTTTTGCACAGCGACAAACCTCTTCCTGAAAATACAGCCTTGCAAAACTCTTTGATTGAGGCTGGATCTGCCCTGCCTGCCATGCCATGCCCTTTGGAACTGCATTCGTGTGACCCAGAGCAATGCATTAATTGCATGACACGGGTCTGCACTGAGCAGAGACACATACACAGTCCAGTTCCAAATCATATATAATGCAATTCCTTGAAGCTCCCTCCTTTGCAAGGACAGCCTGCTTGCAACACACACACACACATATATATATTGCAAACATATAAATATTGCAAACATATATATATTGCAAATTTGCAATATATATATGTGTGTGTATATTTGCAATATATATATTTGCAATATATATTTATATTTGCAATATATATAATTGCAATATAAGTATATGTATATATGCAATATATATATTTGCTATATATTTATAGTTGCAATATATGTATATTTATTAGCAATATATATATTTGCTATATATATGTGCAATATATATTTATATTTGCAATATTTATATTTGCAATATATTTATAGTTGCAATATATGTATATTTATTTGCAATATATATATGTGCAATATATATCTTTGCAATATTTATATTTGCAATCTATATATTTGGTGTATATATATATATATATATATATGCAATACATATATTGCAAATATATATATTGCAAATATATATATATTGCAAATATAAATATATATTGTGCATATATATAGCAAATATATATATTGCAAATAAATATACATATACTGCAAATACATATTGCAACTATAAATATACTGCAAACATATATACAGCATATATATACATATATTGCAATTATATATATTGCAAAAATAAATATATATTGCACTACATATAGCAAATATATATATTGCAAATATAAATATATATTACACATATATATATAGCAAATAAATATACATATATTGCAAATATGTATATTGCAACTATAAATATATTGCAAATATATATTGCATATATATACATATATTGCAAATATAAATTTATTGCAAATAAATATATTGCAAATATATATATTGCAAATGTATATATATATATATATTGCAAATATATATATATTGCAAATTATATAATACATATATATATATATTGCAAATATAAATATATTGCACATATATATATATATATATATTGCAAATATATATATATTGCAAAGTTGTGTGTGTGTTTGCAGAAGTTGCAAAGCAGGAAGAGGGAGGCAGAAAGGAAAACACAGGTCACCAAAGGAAGGAAGGAAAAATCCCTTCCAAGTCACAGGGACTTTTGCATAACAAGCCAAAGCAAGGGAGGGGGAAACCCATTCTTTTAATGCATGCACACACATCTAGATATAAGATAGATCCGGTGCAGGATCTGCTCCAGAACAACTCTTCCTTACCAACTACCAAACTAAATATTAAATAATTTATTATTATTATTTATTATCTTGCAGAGTCATAATTGCACCCACACTGCAAAATTAGAGCTTAGGATTCCCATGCCTGGTTGCTATGGGAATCCTAAGAGTTCTTGCAAAGCTTGGCATGCTTGCAAAAACTAGAACTCCAAAAGTGGAGTCCAAACCGCGTTAATCCTGCAGTGCAGACGCACTTTAAAGTATATCTGTCTCTGTCTACCTTGTTTTCTCTCCATGGTTGGCTTCCCAGAAGTCCGAGAACTGCAAACGGCACGCCTGGAAACGAAGGGGGGAAAAAATGGGGCTGCAAAAAAAATATTGCAAACTATTGCAAAAGCAGTTGCATGCTCTGGATCTCCTCCTTCAGGACTAGCCGCTTGGTCCTTTTTTTCCCCCAAGGTTTTGCAGGCGCCTCGGGTGGCTGGAAGGAGGCCAAAGTTGCAAAGAAGCAATGCACAAAAATAATATCTCTCTATTTGCAGAAAGAGAGAGAGAGAGAGAGAGAGAAAGCTGCCCAGCAGCAGCAAAGGGAGCAGGGCGGCCCGTGACGTCAGAGGGGAAACTGGCAGGGAACCAGACACACAGGGAAGGTGATAGGCAGCCGCGCTGGCCAATCGGAATCGCCGTTTGGGATAGAAGGCGGAGCTTGGAACCATATTTAAAGGGACCCTGCCACAATTGCTTGCAGCAGGAATTTGGGTCTTTTCTCCCCTTTTGACATTGCAAGCTTGAACCCACATGGCTCAAAAACTTTAGTATCCCTGAGAGTTGTAGTTTTTGCACTCTTTGAGCCCTATTTGGAAAACTATTTGGAGCCCTGTTTGGAAAACTACAACTCCATGGCTTCCAACCAGGGCATTTCCAGTGAGCAAAAGCTTTAGTGTTCCTGGGAGTTGTAGTTTTTCCACTCTTAGGGTCCTTGGAAAACTACAACTCCATAACTTTCCAGTGAGGAAAAGCTTTAGTGTTCCTGGGAGTTGTAGTTTTTCCACTCTTAGGGTCCTTGAAAAACTACAACACCATAGCATTTCCAGTGAGGAAAAGCTTTAGTGTTCCTGGGAGTTGTAGTTTTTCCACTCAGGGTCCTTGGAAAACTACAACTTTTCCAAGGACCCTGAGCGGAAAAACTACAACTCCATAACTTTCAGCCAGGGCATTTCCAATAGCTATAAGCTTTAGTGTTCCTGGGAGTTGTCGTTTTTCCACTCTTAATGCCCTTGGCGAACTACAACTCCTGGGATTTCCATAGCCTTCAGTCAGCGCAGTTCCAGTGGTCAAAAGCTTTAGTGTTCCTGGAAGTTGTAGTTCTTCCACTCTTAGGGTCCTTGGAATACTGCAACTCCATAGCTTTTAGCCTGGGCATTTCCAGTACCTATAAACTTTAGTATTCCTGGAAAACTACAACTCCATAGCTTCCAGCCAGGGCATTTCCAGTGAGCAAAAGCTTTGGTGTTCCTGGAAGTTGTAGTTCTTCCACTCTTAGGGTCCTTGGGAAACTACAATTCCATAACTTTCATCCAGGGCATTTCCAGTACCTATAAACTTTAGTATTCCTGGAAAACTACAACTCCATAGCTTCCAGCCAGGGCATTTCCAGTGAGCAAAAGCTTTGGTGTTCCTGGAAGTTGTAGTTCTTCCACTCTTAGGGTCCTTGGGAAACTACAACTCCATAACTTTCAGCCGGGCATTTCCAGTACCTATAAACTTTAGTATTCCTGGAAAACTATAACTACATAGCTTCCAGCCAGGGCATTTCCAGTAGCCTAAAGCTTTAGTGTTCCTGGGAGTTGTAGTTTTTCCACTCTTAGGGTCCTTGGAAGACTACAACACCATCACTTTCCAGTGAGGAAAAGCTTTAGTGTTCCTGGGAGTTGTAGTTTTTCCACTCTTAGGGTCCTTGGAAAACTACAACTCCATAGCTTTTATTCAGGGCATTTCCAGTAGCCATAAGCTTTATTTATTTATTTATTTATTTATTTGCTGCATTTGTTGACCGCCGCTCTCAGCCCTAGGGCGACTCGCGGCGGTGTACAACATATAAAAACAGTTTACAATAAAGCACAACAAGAAATCAACATATCAATAATACACACTAATCTAAATTACACTAACTAATCCGCACCGTCACAACATAGAATCATAGCCAATCTCATAATCCATATTCCGTTCCAGTTGTCATTACCAGTTAATGTAGCACTCAGTTGAATGCCTTCTCGAATAGCCAGGTCTTTAGGCTCTTACGGAAAGCCATAAGGGAGGGCGCCTGTCTGATGTCAACAGGGAGGGTGTTCCACAGCCGGGGGGCCACCACCGAGAAGGCCCTCTCTCTCGTCCCCGCCAGACGTGCCTGTGAGGCAGGCGGGATCGAGAGAAGGGCCTCCCCGGACGATCTCAAAGTCCTCGTGGGCTCATAGGCCGAGATGCGGTCGGAGAGGTATTTTGGGCCGGAACCGTTTAGGGCTTTGTAGGCCAACACCAGCACCTTAAATTGGGCCCGGTAGCAAATCGGCAGCCAGTGGAGCTGGGACAACAAGGGCGTTGTGTGCTCCCTGCGTCCCGCTCCAGTTAGTAACATGGCTGCCGCACGCTGAACCAGCTGAAGCTTCCGGGCCGTCTTCAAGGGCAGCCCCACGTAGAGAGCGTTGCAGTAGTCAAGGCGGGATGTGACCAGAGCGTGTACTACCGTGGACAAGTCAGACTTCCCGAGGTACGGGCGCAGCTGGCGCACGAGCTGAAGCTGTGCAAATGCTCCCCTGGTCACCGCTGAAACCTGGGGATCCAGGCTCAACGATGAATCCAGGATCACACCCAAGCTGCGAACCTGCGCCTTTAAGGGGAGTGCGACCCCATCCAACACAGGCTGTAACCCTATACCCCGTTCGGCCTTGCGACTGACCAGGAGTACCTCTGTCTTGTCTTTAGTGTTCCTGGGAGTTGTAGTTTTTCCACTCTTAGGGTCCTTGGAAAACTTCAACTCCATAGCTTTTCCAGTGAGCAAAAGCTTTAGTGTTCCTGGGAGTTGTAGTTTTTCCATTCTTGGGGCCCTTGGCAAACTACAACACCAGAACTTTCAGCCAGAATATTTCCAATGAGTAAAAGCTTTAGCATTCCTGGGTGTTCTAATTTTTCCACTCTTTGGGCCCTTGGCAAACTACAACTCCCAGGATTTCCATAGCCTTGCGCCAGGGCATTTCCAGTGGTCAAAAGCTTTAGTATCCTTGAAGTTGTCGTTTTTTCCTCTCTTAAGGCCCTTGGCAAACTACAACTCCCAGGATTTTCATAGTCTTCAGCCAGGGCATTTCCAGTGGTCAAAAGCTTTAGTATTCCTGAGAGTTATAGTTTTTCCACTCTTAGGGCCCTTAGTTCACATTGACAATGCACAGTTATGTCAGATTGGCACCACTTTAACACCTGCAGGATTTGTAGTTTCAGCTAGAAACTACAAATTCCAGATTGCCGATTGAGGCTGAGAGGATGTGACTTATCAGCAGCACATCCACACTGCATAGTTATGGCAGATCGGCACCACTTTAAAGCCTGTGGGATTTGTACTTTCAGCTCAGCAGACTACAGATCCCAGAATGCCAACAGTGACACTGAAGCTGAGAGAGCATGACTTACAAGCAGCACAATTGGGTGCATCTGCAGCATAGAATTCATGCAGTTTGATACCACTTTTAACTGGCACCAGTCGAAAGAGGAGGCAGTTAATAAAAAATGCAGATACCCTCACTGATTGACTTTTCATGCTTCAAAACTGATGCAGGCAAAACGTCAGGAGAGAATGCTGCTGGAACATGGCCAGACAGTGCAAAAAACTCACAGCAAGCCACACATAGATTATAATTACAAACAAATTTAGCTGTTGTGTTGTCAAAGGCTTCCGTGGCCAGAACAGAGGGTGCCTCCAGGAAACAACAGCCAAGCTACCTTAATGCAGATACCCTCACTGATTGACTTTGCAGACTCGGGGCTACTCAATGCTAATCAGGCTTGCTAACTGCCATTGTGTGGTCAAAGTCTTCTGTGGCCAGAACAGAGGGTGCCTCCAGGCAACAAGAGCCAGGCTACCTCTATGCAGATACCCTCATTGATTGACTTTGCAGCTTCAGGGCCACTCAGTGCTAATCAAGCTTGCGAAGTGCTGTTGTATTGTCAAAGGCTTCCGTGGCCAGAACAGAGGGTGCCTCCAGGGAACAAGAGCCAGTCCACCTCTATGCAGATACCCTCACTTATTGACTTTGCAGCTTCATGAAGACTTTTTAGAGCAGGCGTGGGCAAACTTGGGCCCTCCAGGTGTTTTGGACTCCAACTCCCACAATTCCTAGCAGCCTAATATGGCGCTTAAATATGCAGATATCCTCACTGATTGACTTTGCAGCTTCAGAGCTACTCAGTGCTAATCAACATTCACACTGCATTGGAGGGCAAGTGTCCAAGTGCAGACTGGGCAACCTGCGTCAGGAGCGAAACCGGATCCGCTCTGGACGGCAGAGAAGCCAGCTGCCGGCCGAGGAAAGGAATGGAGTAACCCTATGCCCACTCCCGGGAGGGCACACACTTTGGAACCGGACAAGCGCATAAGGGAACTCCACTCTGGGCAGCCACCACTCCAGCCCTGGAGGCCTCTGCGCAATTTGAGTTTCCGATCTATGTCCCCACAACAACAAAACAAACACACATGGGGCCCATCACAATAGGAAAGGACACTCTGCAATGGGCTTTATTATTATTATTATTATTATTATTATTATTATTATTATATGATGTCGGGGCTGCATGGCCATCTGTCGGGAGTGCTTTGAAGGTGTCTTCCTGCAGATTGGGGTTGGACTGGATGGCCCTTAGGGGTCTCTTCCAACTCTAGGGTCCTATATTATTATTGTTAAGTAGAAGCTGCATGGCCATCTGTCGGGAGAGCTTTGAATGTGTCTTCCTGCAGATTGGGGTTGGACTGGATGGCCTTTAGGGGTCTCTTCCAACTCTAGGATTCTATATTATTATTATTATTATTATTAAGTAGAGGCTGCATGACCATCTGTCAGGAGGGCTTTGAAGGTGTCTTCCTGCAGATTAGGGATGGACTGGATGGCCCTTAGGGGTCTCTTCCAACTCTAGGATTCCATATTATTTTTATTATTATCGTTATTGTTGTTATTGTTATTATTATTATTATTATTATTATTATTATTATTAAGATTATTGATATTCTGTCAGGAGAGCTTTGAAGGTGTCTTCTTGCAGATTGGGGTTGGACTGGATGGCCCTTAGGGGTCTCTTCCAACTTTAGGATTCAATCCCTCTCCATGACACCAAGCATGATGGTACTACATATCCCATCCTCCCCAATGCATGCAGAGAGAGCAATGCAATCCCTCTCCATGATACTGAGCATGGTGGTACTACACATCCCATTCTCCCCAATGCTTGCAGAGAGAGTGATGCAATCCCTTTCCATGACACTGAGCATGGTGGTACTACAAATCCCACCCTCCCCAATGCATGCAGAGAGAGCAACGCAATCCCTCTCCATGACATCAAGCATGGTGG